GTGTCTTATCTCACTCAGCCTTATAACCTGTATCTCTCACTCTCTGCTCTTTGAATTGAGAAAGCTCCTCGGATGAGGAGCGAAACGTCTTCTGTTACAAATTAAGTCCAGTTGTTTTTGTATTGAACGCTTTTTGAGTTCGTAATAATGTTGTTGAAGCACTGGATGCTAAGGATTATTGTGCTGCACTTTTCTTAGACCTGTCTAAAGCTTTTGACACTGTGGATCATAATATCTTGTGTCATAAACTCTCAGAAATCGGTTTCTCAGAACCCACCATTGGTTGGTTCTCTAACTATCTTTCAGACCGGAGGCAATGTGTTCAACATAATGGTACTTCCTCCAGTTATTTAACAGTCAACAATGGTGTACCACAAGGCTCAGTCTTAGGACCCACCCTCTTTACAATCTACATACATAATGTAGGTAAAAAACATCCCTAATGCATCCATACATTTCTATGCTGATGAGACAGTTGTTTATTGTCGAGCTAAAACTGTTGCTAAGGCTTTACAGCTTTTGAAATCTGCATTCAACATCATCCAGACAGATTTGTTTCGCCTCAAACTTGTCCTAAATGCCGACAAAACCAAAGGGATGCTTTTTTCAAATAGGAAGTTGGTCCCAGCAGTTCTTCCTCCGATTTTATCCTCAAATGGTGTCCCCATTGAGTTAGTTGATTCCTATAAATATTTGGGTATCTTGGTCGACTCACATCTCTCTTTTAAGCTCCATGTGGAAAACTTGGTAAAGAAACTGAAAGTTAAACTGGGTTTCTTTTTCAGAAACAGATCCTGTCTAACCCTGAATGCTAGAAAACGCCTTGTATCTGTGACTTTCCTTCCCTCCATTGATTACGGTGACATTATTTACATGAACGCTCCTACAAGAACCCTGCAGATGTTGGATGCTGCAGATGTTGGATGTTGTCTATCATGGTGCACTAAGATTCATAACTGGCTGTGATTATCGTACCCACCACTGCACCCTGTATTCTCTGGTTAACTGGACATCATTAACTTCACGCAGACTCTCTCACTGGTACATTTTCATCTTTAAATCACTTCTTGGTCTGCTGCCTTCATACATCTCCTCCTACATGTCTCTGTGTGAGTGCAGCTACAGCGTGCGCTCTCAGGACATTATTACCTGCAGTGTTCCCTCAATGAGGACTGAACTAGACAAAAGGACCTTCTCCTATTCCGCTCCTGTTTCATGGAATATCTTACAAAAAGATTTGAAGCTCTCGACCTTGACCTCTCTAAGTGGCTTTAAGAATCTGTTGGACTCCTGGCAGGGTCCAATGCAGACATGTTCCTGTTTTTAGTTTTCTACATTTGTCTTGGAATCTAGCTGTTTGTTTTTTTTTTTGTTACCTTTTCCTTTTAGCCATCCTATTTGTTTAAAAAAGAATAAAAAAAGTAAAAAAAAACCTGCAGTATGACTTTTTATAACTGTTTATTGTTGTTGCTGTTGTCCATTGTTGTCATCTTTCTTTGTTGAAATCAGGTCTCTCTTGTAAATGAGTCCTCGAGGTTCAATGGGATTTACCTGTATAAATAAAGGTTGATTGATTGATGTCGGAGTCACGAGGAGGAAGGAGCTGCAGCTGATACAACTCTTCATGTGTTGCAGGTGAGTCTCTACAATTTAACACATTGTTCTGTTTCCAAGAGAGAAAACGTAACGTCAGTCTGTCTGGTAGATTAAGCTGCTGCTTGTTCTCTGATTAATGACGGTGATAGAGAACGTGTGTTACTTTTTATTTAATTTAATTGGTATAAGCAGTGTTTAAATGTGATTTATAAATAAATCTAACACAAAAATAATAATTTAATGATTAAGCTTCAACTTTTAATTTGCTGGCAAAGTCTGAAGACACTGCAGGTATGGCAGGATGAATTGCATTTAAACAGGAATTAAAGTAATTTATTACATCTACTCAAATGTGTGTAATTAAGTATTTTATTTATGTGTGTGTGTGTGTGTTTAATTGCTCTTTTAGCTACTTTTGCCTGAACCTAACACTAAGTGAAACAAGGCATTTCTTGAGTTGCTGTAAATTATGATATAATAATTATAATGAATAATGTAACACCACCACCACCTGCACTTTCATCCGTTAGCCCACTACTGTACAAACTGTACACATAATCTACTATCTACTGTTCATAAGTACTCACATACTTATATATATTTTTCTTTTATATAGCTGTTTATACCCCTTCATATTATAACCTGTTCATAGTCTGTACACTCACAACCTGTATATATTTATACCTATAGCATATTCAAAGCAACACTGTATATTGTAATATATCTACCAATTTATTTTTCTTGCTAAGCACTTTTGGATAGATGCAAACTGTATTTCGTTGCTTTGTACCTGTGACATGTGCAATGACAATAAAGTTGAATTCTATTCTAAAATATATATTTACTCTCTCATTCCAGAAAACAACAACAACCAACAACAACACTTCATGATGGACAGACATCATGGACACCACAGCAGCAGCTGTCTTCACTGAAACATCCTGAACATGATCGTCACTGACATGAGGCCTCTGTCCATGGTTGAAGACGAAAGCTTCACTACAATAATCCACACTTTTAATCCAGGTTACAATAATCCACACTTTTAATCCAGGTTACAATGATCCACACTTTAATCCAGGTTACACTCTTCCCTCAAGGACACATTTTACAAAGTAGCTACATATTGTGCAGGTATAAAGATACATTTGTATATATTTTTGTGTACATTAATTTTTGTAAGCTATTTGACTAACTTTTATTTTTTATTATTCAATATTTTACTAACAGAATAATCAAATAGCAACCTGTTTTTTGTGCGAATTGCTATGTCTGTCAAATGTTCAATTTTGGAATAAAGGGGTGGAAATTAAAACGTGTTTTTTTTTTGCCGATTCATCGATTCATCGAAAAAATAATCGGCTGATGAATCGATTATTGAAATAATCGTTAGTTGCAGCCCTAATTTCATTTATTTATTTGGTGTGTGTTTTACACCTGTAATGGGTTTCACAATTTGTGTTTTTGGCATTCTGTGTGTTCAGGGGGGGCCTGTGTGGTGGACACAAATGTATATATTTTATGTCAGAATGTGCTCTTATTGTGAAATGGACAGAATATAAATAATATAAACGGAGTCTGGTCCTCTGGGCATTCAAAAAACAAAACAAACCCTAAAAAGTAGAAAGGTTACGTCTTTCATCCGAAATACTTCTTTAGACTGAAGAAGTCTTTCGGATGAAAGACGAAACGTTTCTACTTTTTCTGTTTTGTTTTGTTTTTTGAATGCCCAGAGAACCAGACTAAACTTTTTTAGATAGACTTCACTACAATAATCCACACTTTTAATCCAGGTTACAATAATCCACACTTTTAATCCAGGTTACACTCTTCCCTCAAGGACACATTTTACAAAGTAGCTACATATTGTGCAGGTATAAAGATATATTTGTATATATTTTTGTGTACATTTATTTTTTAAGCTATTTGACTAACTTTTATTTTTTTATTATTCAATATTTTACTAACAGGGTAGTCAAGTACCAACCTGTTTTTTGTGTGAATTGCTATGTCAGTCAAATGTTCAATTTTGGAATAAAGGGGTGGAAATTAAAGCATATTTCTTTCGCCAATGAATCAATTAACCGGAAAATAATTGGTCAATTAATCAATTTTTTGAATAATTGTTAGTTGCAGCCCTAGATACTTTAAACTCTTCATTACAACTCATATGCTGTGGAGAAAGCTACGTTCCAACATTTTTCAGTCAGGTCATCTGGACAGTTTCTTTTCTTTTTTTTGTGCTGAAACGGTTCGCCTTCGATCCGAAAGGCTTCATCAGTCAAGGAAACACACAACACATACAGAATAGAATTCAAAATCTTACTTCTAACCTACAAAGCTCTCAACAACCTAGTTCCATCTTGTATTACAGATCTTGTTGTTCCATATTTTCCTAACAGAGCACATCACTCTCAGACTGCAGGTTTACTTGTGGTTCCTAAAGTTTCCAAAGCAGAATGGGAGGCAGATCTTTCAGTTCTCAGGCTCCTCTCTTGTGGAACCAACTTCCAATCTCTGTCCGTGCGGCTGACACATTATCCAGTTTTAAGACTGGGATTAAGACTTTACTTTTGATAAATCCTATAGTTAGGGTCAGCTTGGGTTTCCTGAGCTGTCCCTTAGTTATGCTGCTATAGGCTTAGCCTGCTGGAGGACAAACTGACCACACTTTTCACTCTGCTACTGTCTTTACTTACTCTGCTCAACCTGTTAGGTATTTGTAATTATTTTTTCTATTCTTAACATGTGGTTTTTGTCTTTCAGATACACCTGGACCTATACCTGGACCTGGACCTATACCTGGACCTACCATTCTGTGTTTGTCTGTCTCTCCTTCCTGTCCTCTCAACCAGCCAGTCAAAGCAGATTGTCTCTTGTCCTGAGCTGGTTCTGTTGGAGGTTTCTTCCTTTTAAAGGGAGTTTTTCTTTTCACTGTCTCCACTGTGCTTGCTCAGGATGGGAGACTGCAACGAAGCCAAGATTCAACTTGTCTGCTGGATTCCTTAGATAGAGAACTTTACTAATTGGCTTTTCTGTGTATTTGAATGTTCCTGTAAAGTGCCCTGAGACAACTTTGTTGTGAATTGGTGCTAATAAATAAACTGAATTGAACTGAATTGAATCGAGTGACTACTGTACATACATTTTTGTGTATCATTACACCCTTAATAAATTGCCATGTTAAGCCCAACTTCCAGGCAATCTTATGACTCAAAGTTAGTTATTACAAATTATTAACACAATATGCAAAGAAGGGTGATGCAACAGAGCAACAACCAGTTACTTTTTAAACCTAGCACTATACTTGTTCCACGCAAAGGAAAGTCTAAGTTTAAAATGTTCAAACGGACTGTTGCAAAAATAAAAATATGAAGTCTTTGTTTTAAACATCCAGTTGTTACCTGGTGATATTCTGACAGGATGTTGTGCATGTCTGCGACATCTTCACTTGAGATCTGCTTGATAACCAGCGTACGGTCATAGGAGTTGAGAAGCAGAACCTCTCCCTGATTGTCAGAACTTCTCATTGGGGGGCTGCGGGTCAACGACACCTGGGAGAGAATACGATCAGACAAAATGCCTCTTAGTTCAGAGTTTCCCCTGCAGTTATCTGAGGGCGTCCTGCCACCTCAAAGAATTGTGTGTGTGCACGTGTGCATATGAATAAACAAAAAAGCTCTGAAAATGTTTTGTGACAAACAGAGAATAATGCACTGCAGTGAGAAAAGCTGCACACTATGTAAATAAACCATTCAAGTTACAAAATTATATTGTAATATATAATTTTATGAATAAAATGTACTAGACTTATTATTCAACATATTCATCTAATGTTAAATTTATTGCAGTTATTTAAAACAAAAACTCAAATTATTTGCCTTGTTGACCCCACTCAAGAGTAGAAACTTGTGGAAAACGTTGGTTACGTACTGTAACCCCAGATTCTATGAGTATAGGCGTAGCCCTTTAAGAGCTGTCGCTAGGGGGTTTATCCCGTCATGCAAAGCATCACACTGAAAAATTTAGTCCACGCCCACCTGTTGTGTGGGCCCCACATGGTCTGTATAAATTACGTTACGAGCGGGTAATCAGCTCCCAAAATAGATTTTTCTTCAGCCATTTAAGAGCCAGTGAGGCCAGAAGTTTAAAGGGCTACGCCTATACTCATAGAATCCAGGGTTACAGTACGTAACCAACGTTCTATTTCGTATAGGCTTCGCCCTTTAAGGCTGTCGCTTAGTGGGTTAAGGGCGAAGCGGATGTTGTCCTCGCCTCACTGGGTCCATTCGAACACCGTATGAAGCGGCAGCTTGCCCAAAAAACGTCTTGTCACTCAGCTCTCCATGTGCATAATTATGCATTGCGTAACTTTCAACGGGGAAAGGAAGATGCTGAAAAGGGGCCATGAATCAACAGATTCATGGCTGAACAATATGAACAGATTAATAATAACGAGTGAACTGATCAAATGAACTGATAGGTAACAATTGTCATGAACTGATTAATGACAATAGAACCAAAATAACAGTCACAACTTGTGACTGAAAACAACATCTCACACTGTAATGCATGCAGACAGGTGTGAGTAAAACGGAATTCCACGAAACAACAATATTCATTCTGTTAAAACACTAAGTACAGAATGTGTCATGGAACGGGCCGTCACATCACGTAGATACAAGTGAATAAATAAGCAGGGTGTTGACCACGCGGCCGCAGTGCAAATGTCCTGCATTGTCATACCATTATGCAGAGAAGTCGAAGATGCGATACCCCTGGTCTAGAGTGCCCTGAGGTTGACAGGAGGCTCTACATCTGATGCCCTGTGGGCTTCAGAAAAGGCCTCACACAGCCAGTATGACAAGCGCTGGGTGGATAACGGGCGACCTGCAGATGTATCTCCATAATGCACAAACAAATGTTGAGTTTGATGCATTGCAGCTGTGCACGCTATGTAACACGTCAATGCCCGCACAGGACAGAGAAGATAGAAAGATGCTTCTTCTTCTGATTTGTGTGTGTGTGTGTGTGGGGGGGGGGAGGGAGATATCGCTCTTGATTTAAAAGAGTTTGTGATGCTTTAGACATAAACGCTGGATTCGGTCTTAGATCAGCTGAGCTGCCATCAGCCTGAATTCTAAGACATGACGGAGCGACAGAGAGGGCAGATAAATCACTCACCGTCTTAGCGGATGTTAAAGCCAGCAGCAGGGCTGTTTTAAGAGACAAGGATTTAATTGGAACCTGATTTAGTGGCTCGAGTGGAGCTTGATCAGGGCCCGCAGGACCAGCGTTAAATCCCACTGTGAAGCAAGTGGGCGTGAAATAGGCCTGCGTCTCTGTACACCTTTTAAAAAAATGCTTCATCAGCAGATGATTAAAACCTGTTCTGTCTCCGAACCCTTCGTGACAAGAAGAGATGGCTGCAGCCTACGTTTAATCGTGCTGAACGCCAAATTTCTGTCCATCAGCTGCTGCAGAAAGGACAGCACGCCGCCTAACGGACACGAGGTGGTCTCTACACCTTTCTCTGTACACCTTTTACAAAACGTACCATCAGCGGATGATTAAAAGCTGTTCTGTCTCCGAAAAACCTTTGTGACAGGAAGAGATGGCTGCAGCATACGTTTAATCGTGCTGAACGCCAAATTTCTGTCCATCAGCTGCTGCAGAAAGGACAGAACACTGCCTAGTGGACATGAGGTGGCCTCTACACCTTTCTCTGTACACCAGCGCTGAAAATCTGTCCACTTTGATGTGTACAGCGTTGTGGTGGATGTAACACGTGAATCCTGGATTGTGCGCATTACATCTTGTGGGAGACCCATACTCTCTAAGCGGATCTGCTCAGCGGCCAGACCCACAAGTGCTGGCCTATTTCTGGGTAACTCCTGATCACTCCTCCCGCCTGGAGGAGAGCGTCCTCCCTCCACGGCAGTTTCCACGGGCGCCCCGATAACAGGCGTTGTAGAACCGGGAACCATGGTGCGTTCAAGCGCTCGGGAGCCACCATGAGAGCTGTCAATCCCTCCCCCTGAACTCGGTTCAGAAACCGTAATATCAGAGGAGGTGGGGGGAACTCTTAAAGAAGCGTTCTGGGCCATGGGCTGTGAGCAAACACGTCCACCCCCAGCGGTGGTTCATCTTGCGGGCTCAGTGAAAACCATAGTTGACACTGAACATTTTCTCGTGTCGCAAACAGGTCCACGGCCGCTTGCCAAATTTCTGCTACGTCTGGGCCATCAGACCGAGGTGAAGGGTCCACTCCCTGTGACGCGGACCGCCCCTGGACATCACATCTGCCCCTTGTTCAGAACACTGGGGATGTACACTGCTCTGATGGAGAGCAGATGTTGGTGTGCCCAACACAGTAGTTTCCTCGCAATGTGTAACATTTGGGCTGAGCGCACCCTCCCCTGCCGGTTTATGTAAGCAGCAGTAACTTTGTTGTCTGTGTGAATCAAAATGTGTTGATTCTGCAACACAGGAGCAAAGTGTTGAATCACATTCAGAACTGTGCAACATTCCAGAACGTTTATATGAGCTGTTGTGAGAAAGGCCACAGCACCCCTACAGCTCGAGATAGGCATGTGACCCCCTAACCTGACAATGACGCGTCTGTGAAGACTGACACGTGTGACGTAGGTCTGCTGTCGGGGATTCCCTCCGACAGAACCGGGGGGTTTCCCAGTGTCGGAGATCCGTTCTCACGGAGGGAGGAACAGTGATCGTCCATCTCTTTTGCCTCACCGGATCCACACGCAGACGAGCAAACCATCTCTGGAGGAGTCTCGTGTAGTAAACCCAGCGGGGCCACTGTGTGAGCTGACAACATCGTTCCTAACAGCTTCATGATGGAAAATAGCTGTTACTATTCTGCCCAGTCTTACGTGGCAGAGCTGGACTCTTAGAGAGTCGATTCTCGTTTGTGATAAACGAATAAATGAGCCCTCATGGTGGTTGAGTTTAGCCCCACTCCCAGATAATCGTCTGGGCCGGGAGAATCGAGCTTTTCCCAATTTATGGCGAAGCCCAGAATAAGCAGGTGTGACGTCAACACCTGAACCTGTGCCGGCATGTGAAGCGGTCTGCCCACGATTGCTTTGTTGAAAACTGACAGGTCCAAAATCGGTCTCGTTCCTCCGGTCTGTTTGGAACCAGGAAGTAACGTGAGTAAAAAAAAAGTGTTTTCCTCTCCATCGAGAACCCCTGGACTTCTGCCTTTAGGGATGAGACCTGGTCTGGTGATGACAGGACCGTCTCTAAAAACGCCTCCAGAGGGGGTCGAGCTGCAAGTTGCAACGTGTAACCCCTGCTATCAGCTTGGCCATCCATCTGTCTGGCGAGCAAGCTCGCAACCACTCCGCGTAACGTTCATTGAGTGGGCGCGCGTTTAGGTGGTGCGTCGATCTCAGGGAAACGTTGAACCTCCGGTTGCCGGGATGAGAAAGGCTGATGTCTGACGGGCGGGGCTGGCGTAGCGGAGCAGGGAGACGCCTGCAGCTGTGGAACATCTTGAAAATGGTCCCGAACAGCGCGTCCGTCGTTGATGGGGGCCTTCCAACAAAAGGCTTTCTGCAGCTCCTCCGAGAGGGAGGTGGAGTGACAGGCCAGGTGGACTTCTGGAAAAAAACCTCGTCCTCCGGCTGCGATGCGAGACCGGCAAGACAACAAAAGAGGCGCACAGGTTGAGGATGACATCAGCTGCCTTGCAGAGGGAGCGTTACGTCTCCTCCAGCCTCTTGAACGTTGTACGCCAGCAGCATAATGTATTGTTCGCTGCGGCCGCCTGCAACGCACACTAGTGAGCTTGGTTGAAGAGTGATGTCACTGTCTGTCATGCTTACCCGTAGGCGCAGGATGCTGGTCCAACTTGGACATCTTGCTCCGAAAGCCTCCACCAGGTTCGGCTCCAGGGGGGCACCGAGGGAATATCCGCTCGGTGAAACCCCTCCACTCTGGTGATGGACGCGAATGTGGGAACCGGCGCCCTATTCTACCAGAACCGGCTGTGGCCTCGTCCCAATAGGACGTCACTGCTGGGAAACGAGGCCAGATGGGATCAGGACGGCGAGCCGGAATGGAGCCCAGAAACCTTCCCGCTAGATCATTCGATCTGGGCGGAGGAAGGAGAGGGAGGGAAAAAAGTCCCTTCATGTCAGCCGCTTCCTGGATTATGCCCGGCAGCTCTAGAGGAGGGCACCGAGAGCGGGGAGCGGGGTGGTCGCGGATGCGAGAAGGGGGGGGGGGGGGGGGGGGGGGGGGGGGTTGGCATTTGCTCAGCCCCCCTCGTTCAGACACTACGCTCTCCAGGAAGGAGTGAGCAGTGGGGGGCTGCTGCTGACGTACCATCCGATTCGCTCCGAGAGTTGGCGATAAAAGGACAATTACAAGATGGCGTCGTCCAGCGTGTAGCGACCTGCCACTGAGAAATACTCCTCGGCGCTTACCTTGAAACAAGACTGCTCGTCTGCTTCTCCTCGGGGAGGAGAACTCACCGGGACGGCAGGAGGTTGACGTGGCGGGGCCACAGGCAGTCTTAACAAAGGTTGGTCAAGCTAGACAACTTTCCTTCTTCGTTCTTCTGACAGTGCTATTGGCTTGCTGAAGAAAAATGGGAGCCGATTACCGGCTCTTAACGTAATTTATACGGAACGGGTGGGGCCCACACAGCTGGTGGGCGTGGACTAAATTTTTCAGTGCAATGCTTCGCATGATGGGATAAACCCACTAAGCGACAGCTCTTAAAGGGCGAAGCCTATATGAAATAGAACTCTGTAGTTAGAATAGAATATTTTATTTGTTTGTTACAAGGGGGAAATAAAGCTCACCTGATAGTCCAAATCCTCAATACCAAAACGTTCTCTTAAATTTCGGAAGACCTGAGGACAGTATTCTTTGAATTTGAAGTGTCCTGGAAGATTTTCTCTGGCAAAGAAAAAGTGAAAGTTATTTTTACCTGCTAGACATCCCACACTCACAAAACATTTGTCAGCAGAGGCGTGGTTAGGCCTGGGTATTCAGGACTGTAGTCCTGGATGACTGTGGTTTGCTTAAAACAGGCAGATTAACTTGTGGTTTCTGTACTGCCAATAAGCCTGTACCTGCTCACGGGACAACTCATTTACACATGCACGCAGATAATCATTGTTACAGCATGTTTGCTTAGTTGTTTTACTGATATTAGGTGTTGTTCCTAAGTTAGGGGGCTTTAGGCCAGGCTGCAACAGGTAGACAAGAAGTTTCTCCTGATGCTGCAAAGCTGTGCTTTTTTTTTTTTTTTTACCAATTCAGGTTGATCAAGAAAAGGTTGGCCGAACTGTTATGAAATTTTTTGTTTCACGCCTTTACAAGAATTTTATCAAAACAATCCTAATGTGAATCAGATAATTAAAAAGAAAGAGCAAATAAAAATAACTTCAAATGAAATGGACACACGTAAAGAAAAACAGTGAACAGTACCATGGGAAAACTTTCAGCCATATTCTTTTTAACATTTCTTTCAGCAAGCCAGACTATGGGGCCGTTTACACGGCGTGTATTTTGAGTGAAACCGCACCTTTCTCTCACCAGTTGGTCCGTGTACATTCAGGCAGTTCATTTTTTCATTTGAAACAAAAAATGAAAAAACAAAAACACACTTGTTTTTTTCATTTTTCCTTTATTAAACCAAAATGAAAAATCGGATAACGAAGCGTAATCCGATTTCCAATTTTGTGCACAAAATGAAAATGGAAAAAATGGATAACGAGCGTTCCGTTTCAATTTTCATGTTTTCATTTTTGACAAGTGGTCTGACCCGGAAGTTCTGTCTGCCCCGCACCGTGTGGCTTGCTGCTTGTGTACACACGTTTGGACACGCCCATTGACTTCTGAAGAATGGAACGCGGAAGTCACGTGGGTCATGCAGCGGCTCTGGTTCAAAATAGTTCCAAACAGCAGTGGGTCCAGCATTGAACATAGTTCATTCTCGGTGTTTCGGAAGTGTTTTCTCCGGTAAGTTGATGAAAATACAACATTTTTTGCCATTGTGAAGAGTTAGCAGACTGTTCTGTACCACAATTTATCAACATAAATACTTCATGTTGCCAGTTTTAGTTAATTAAACGTTAACTTGCTAGTTGTGTTTAGCCGTTTTTCTGCAAGAATGATGTGGTTAATTTAGTTCAAGTTATAGATCATTTGTCAGACTGAAGCATAAATGGGGACATTATCATTAAAGATAAACGTGACCGTGGAAATGAGCCTTTTTTTTAAATGTTTTCCAGGTAAACAACGGGAGAATGACTTAATAATAATAATAATAATGAATTTAATTTGTAATGCACTTTTCATTAACAAAAATCTCAAAGTGCTACAGAGTGCAACTAAAATCTGTGATAAAATCAACTAAAGTCAGTGATAAAATCAACTAAAATCAATGATAAAATCAACTAAAATCAATGAATCAATGCGTTTTGCGCCGCTCAAGGTGGCTGCATGTTGGAGCAGCTCTGTTACTTTCATTCTGAGATTTTGCTTTTGGAAACTTTAATTCCTCTTTTTCTGGATGTAAATCACATTTTTTGGATGATTGTTTCCTCCAGTATCAGATGCTGTGCAGCTGGAAGGATTTTTACTGAAACTTTTTTAGTTTTGGACATTTGTTATGATGCGTAACCATGGCAACAAGGCACTTTTCTACAACCAACAGCAGCTGATTAACATCTCAAAAGCTCAAATAATATCTCAACTACAGTCCCATATCTCAGATGAGTTGAAAAGGATGTTCTGTGGATGCATTCTCATCTACCTGCCAGCTGTGCTCGAGTACCTGACCACTGAGATCCTGGAACTAGCAGGAAACTTGGCTCATGACAGCAGAAGGACAGGATCGTCCCTCAGCACCTACAGTTGGCTGTCCGCAGCAACGAGGAGCTCGGCAAACTGCTGGGAGGAGTGGCCATCACTCTGGGAGGAGTTCTGCCCAGCATTCAGGTGGTCCTACAGCCCGGGGGAACCAAGAGGTCAGCCGAGTCTGGGTGGACGGATCGGACGGCATCTGCAACCAGTTTCTTAGGATCCACTGTGGGATGGACCTTTACAAGAGATCCTTCCTGTCTACAGCCATCAGCATCTATAACGTCTCTTAATGAAATGAGGATAATGAGTTACAACAACAAATAATTTCCCTCTGGGATTAATAAAGTATTTTTGAATTGAATTGAATTGAATTGATAAAATCATGTGGAGGCAGAATAGGCTTGCTTAAAAAGAAAAGTCTTTAAGCCTTTTTTTTTTTAAAGTCAGTCAATGATTGTGGAGCTCTCAGATAGTCAGGGAGGGAGTTCCAGAGGTGGGGGTGGGGCAGCCACACAGAATGCCCGATCTCCCATGGTTCTTAATTTAGTTCGTGGAAGGTGGAGGAGATGACTGTTCTGTGATCGTAGGGACCGGGTGGATGAATATGGAGCAAGGAGGTCCTTCAGATAATTTGGTGAATTTCCGTATAAACACTGATGGCAAATGAGAGCAATTTTGTACTGAATTCTGCAGGTGACAGGAAGCCAATGGAGGCTATGGAGAATGGGTGTAATATGTTCAAATTTACGAGCCCTCAATAAAATCCTGGCTGCACTGTTTTGAATATATTGAAGCTTCTGAAGGTTTTTGCCGGGTATTCCAGTAAACAGGGAGTTGCAGTAGTCGAGCCTGGAGGAGACAAAGGCATGGATGAGATTCTCTGCATCAGCAAAAGTGAGAGATGGACTAAGTTTGGAGATATTTCAAAGATGGAAGAAACAGGTTTTAAACAGATGCTTAATGTGATTTTCAAATGTAAGATGAGAGTCCATTTTTATTCCAAGATTTGTAACAGAGGTGGAGAGGGGGATGTCTTGTCCAGAAAAGGAAACAGTTGTTATAGTTGATGTTTGAACCTGGTGAGGGGTGCCAATCAGTATGGCCTCTGTTTTGGAGCAGTTTAACTGAAGAAAGTTCTGATTCATCCATGCCCTTTTCTCCTCCAGGCAGGTAGAGAGGGCAGTGAGTGAAGATGGAGATGACAATGGTGATGCGCCAGTCCTGATGTAAAGCTGTGCATCGTCGGCATAACAGTGAAAAGAAATGTACTAATTAATAATTTGACCTAAAGGCAGCATGTAAAGGGAAAATAGCAGGGGCCCTAGAACTGACCCTTGAGAGACACCACACTGGGATTTGGCATTGCCAAGACTAACACATTCCAGCCTATTGGAGAGGAAAGATTTAAACCAGTCCAGGACAGTGTCACAGTGACTTCTGTGAACTGTTGAAGCATGTTGCATTCAAAGCTCACTAAGGTAACAAGATTTCATTTTCAGTCTTCTCTTAAACAATACTAGTGGAATAAAAAAATTAATAATAAAATTACTTTAACACCATAACCTTCACAACGGTGGTATTTACTGCAGGACTGTTCATTAGGCCCGAGCAGCGAAGCGTTGCAAAAGCCTATTGTAATCGCTCTGTTCAGGCCCGTTCAGGCCCGTTCAGGCAATTTTTTCTGCCAAATGAATTGGCGTTTTGGGGGCCTTACCATCTCCCAAAAGTCACCAAATTTGGTGGACGCATCAGGACTGGTGAAAAATTATGTATTTTAAGGGCGTGGCAAAAATCAAAACAGAAACAGATCAAGAGCGCCACCTAGAAATTTTGTTTTAAAAGACCAAGACTGGTGAATGGGCCAATATCTTGATATTTTAAAGCGCATAACTGCAGACTTTTCATTGGACATTTATTATATTATTATTATTATTATTGAGAGAGCTCTCTTCCTGTTATGAAATGGGTGAAATTGGTTTATTTCAAATAATCTTTATTTTCCTACGTAAAGTCAAATCAGTGAGACAATTCAGTTTTGTTTGGTGTTAATTTTCATGAAGGAGAGTGAGTGGCGGATTATTTTGAAGTTTCAGTCGGAACAGCTGATTTTTGTTTATACAGGTCCTTCTAAAAAAATTTGCATATTGAGATAAAGGTCATTATTTTCCATGATGTAATGATAAAAATGAAACTTTCATATATTTCAGATTCATTGCACACCAAATGAAATATTTCAGGTCTTTAATTGTTTTAATACTGATGATTATGGCATACAGCTCATGAAAACCCAAAATGCCTGTCCCAAAAAATGAGCATATCATGAAAAGGTTCTCTAAACAAGCTATTAACCTAACCATCTGAATCAACGATGTAACTCTAAACACCTGCAAAAGATTCCTGAGGCTTTTAAAAACTCCCAGCCTTGTTCATTACTCAAAACCGCAATCATGGGTAAGACTGCCGACCTGACTGCTGTCCAGAAGGCCATCATTGACACCCTCAAGCAAGAGGGTAAGACACAGAAAAAAATTGCTGAACGAATAGGCTGTTCCCAGAGTGCTGTATCAAGGCACCTCAGTGGGAAGTCTGTGGGAAGGGAAAAGTGTGGCAGAAAACGCTGCACAACGAGAAGAGGTGACCGGACC